GTCAAAAGCGAACATCGAAAAACATATTTACCTGAAGAGATTATTAATTTTTGACAATACGCCACTGCATCTAGAAATTTATTTCAGTTTACATAAATGCAATTACTTGTGATCTCCATCGGAGGTTAGTACCGGTTTCGATATTTACATTATCAAATTACCGAATGCAGTCACATTCAAAGTTCAACAAAACAACGATTTCGCTCAACAACCATACGTAAACATATGCTAGAAGCAAAGCTCGGCGAAGTCTGATCAGTTTTAGGTTATTCAACGCTGATGCGTTCCGGTGTCTAATTATCAGATGATAGATACCGCGTTGAACGCTCATCTCAATATGATTCTGTTCGCGGTGGATGGACACCGGAAACGCTGGATTTCGTGCGTCGAGCTTTTATTCGCACATTGCGGTTTCTCGTTCACACGAGAAACTTTATTGCTTTTAAACAAGAACATCGAATATAAGCCAACCTGAAAGTCTGCTGTAACATCTTTACTGAGGTCAGTGTCTCTGGCGCGAAGTGAGGCGAAAGAGTTTAATTCAACCGAAAAACATGGCAATGAAAAACAGGTGCACATTCACATGACAATTTTGTTAGCCTCTAGGTGTGTTTTCTCGGCTGAAGACTTTAATGCTCTGGCTGAAATTAGCTCCCTCATCTGGCGCCGACTACTGATTACTGGAAGGACGCATTAACCACAAGGTTAAGGAGACGTCAGAGCAACGACTGTGAGGCTCAAGTTTGTCATCCGGAACGCGCTCGACTGTGTGGAGGAAAATTTACCACATATCAACGCATCGACCATTTGAACAGATGGTGGATTGTCCTCGTTCGCCAATTTTAAAACTTACTGACCATCGACAAGATCACAACGCTGCCGTTGCACTGCACATGCTACATCCTTAGCGATTTCTTCGAAGTATTTGTTGCCAGATACTCGTCGTAGAAATGGCGAGTCTGTCGACAGGCAACGGGGCGACGACAGCCGTCAGCTTCAAGCACTTCTGCCCCGGGGACCTGATCCTGTCTGTGAGTCGGATTGCACTGCACTGTCCACATTAGTCGTTTACTGTATCGTTAAGTAGTCAGAGCAGATGGATTTTCCATCAGCGTATGCAGTCGACTTTCCCGTGAGTATTTGCAGTTGACCTGCGCGTTTCTTGTCTATACATCGCTTCTGACCCGAAACTGATGAGTTGCGGGCTGACAGGAGCCGGGTGATTGGCGCCAGGTGATGAGCGATGGGTATCGGGTGCCGGCTGTGGCCGTGTGTCTATCATCGTGTGCGTTTTGTTTGCTTGTTTTGCATTCCATTTTTTCTGCGCGCATCAAACCCGTTTCATTCAACACAACGCAACAGGTGACCAATGTTTATGCCACGTCAGTCTTTCAGCTGTGACCATGGCTATGCTGTTTTGTGACGGCAAACCGATATGAGATCAAAAAGCGTGCAATCACAAAATAACATCTTTACACTATCGTCTCTTCGCCAATCCATTCCTTTCCAGATCATTCGGCGCAATGCACATGTGCTACATGCCCATTACTGTAGCAAAACATTTTCAACTGATCTGTAACAAATGCTCGTCCATTATCCGATGAGATTACTTTTGGCACGCCAAATGATACAATGCATCGTCGTAGTCTATCAGCAATAACTATCGCTGTAATCAAGATCGTGGTTCGGACCTCTGGTCACTTCAGCAGCAATGAGTCATTGGTGCTGTTCGAACGGACTAGTCAAATCCAAATGAATATGTTACTATGGTGGTTTGCCTGCCATATTCGATGAGCAAAATTAGTCGCGTCGGTATAACCGTTTTTTGACACGTCGTATCGCTTAAAGGACTCTATTGCTTGGTGGATTCTTGGGCATCAAACAGCATCATGATCTTGCTGTCGATTTCTCGACTGCTACAATTTGTGACGTTCATGTAGTACCGAAGAGATTTTTTTTAAAATAATTTTTCATGGACAACTTGTGCAATGATCAGATACCTCAAATTTGAGTATCACGCAGTTGTAGCAAGACGCTGGTGCAGAAGCCACATACGGCAGGTTGAGGATGAGGCTGAGGTTTAAGAGGTGCTGTGTGCCGTTTGACCGCCACTGGCGAATGATAATTTTGTGAGATAAAAACCTCGTCAAGTATTCCTGTTCTGCTGCCTGAAATCGTTTGGCTAGATGAATGTTACGTAGACTTCGCAATAGAAGAACGGAACAACCACTAACAAAAAAACACTCAGCGAAAAACAGAAAACGGTAAAAAAGGACGTATGCTAACGTATCGACCTAAAAAACACCCGCCGCCATTCGGTAAATGTTCCCGGAATGCGATGAAAATTTTCATGGCCAATCAAAATGCAAGAACGGTACGTAATTGCAGGAAGAAGATTAAGAGACGGTACGCAATTGGAACAGGCGACATCGGAAGATCTACGGAACTTGTTCTGTAACGGAACATCCAGCATTTGAGAACCGAGCTAAGACCACGACATCCGATGCATCACCTGTCATAGTATTTCGGCTTCTACAGAATTACAGTAAAAAAGTAGTTCAAACTTACAGCCGAACCAAACAAGTTGAAGACGAAGAGATGAAGCAATAGGACGAACAATTGCAAAGTACAGTGAAGAAGAGTACAGACACGACTGCCGAACGAAACTTGAACGCTGTGGTAGAGAAAACAACGAATGACAACCAGACATTCATCGGAAAGTATAGGGACGGCAAAGAAACGAATATGAGACCGAACACCGGTTCACAATCATCCGCCACCTGTAAGTCACATCCGTTCCGTTTTCGAGAAAACTACAGAGCGACAGGGCACATTGGACATGTCAGTGATGGGCGAGAAAATAATCTCTTACAATGTCGTATCACATGCCTATAAGTTACAAAGTTGCGATCGATATAAGAAACGGAGGGGGGACGGATGAAAACAGCGCAGATAACCACTATGATTCGACATGGACGCTTTCGCAAAAAAACTGTCATTAATCAACCTTGAAACGGATATAAGCTAAGGCAGAGACACGGATCATGACTACCTCGTGAGTGTCGTCAAGGCTGACATTCGAATATCAAGCCGGACAGCAGTCACGACGACGACAACCATCGTAAGCCCTTCTCCACAACGTAATTACTAACTAGAAAAAACTAACCGACGACGTGTACCCGGCATTGTGCTAACATGGCAAGAAATTGACAGAAGACTACGAAAGTGACAAGAGGGCATGAGAATACGAAAGAGGCTAATGATAAAATGTGCGCAATGAAATCCGTAAAAAAGGGGGACATGTCTAAAACGGGTGAATTTTGAATCGGCTGAAAGAAAAACGATGAACGATGAACAAGAAGTAACGATGGGAACCGGATGAACGTGATGTACACAAAAATAACCGTTAGTCTTCGAAATGAGGTGAGTGGCAAATTGCCACAAACTGTTGTAGAAGCGGTTTACGAAGTCAATCAGGGACGAGGTTGACTTTGAACAATCATAAACATCACAAGGAAAAGATGTCCAAGCACGAATGATATAATACCAGACACGCTAAATTAAGAGGAACAATGTTGCTTGACTGGACTGCAAACCCTTTACGCAACACATCACGTATCATTAATGAATACAGACAACTTCGAAAATCTTCAGAGCACGTTGGCACGTTGAGGCATCGGTTGAAAGGTCAGTTTTGAACTCCGGTGCCTACTTTGAACCCACACGTTTGTGTTTCAAGCGAATTCGGTGGAACAACGAATTAATCACGGCAAAAAAGCCGATGGTTCGTGAAAAATACTAACCGCACTGTATTTTGGTTTGGCGATGCCAAGAAGGACGACGCGTACGGTCATATGGTCAAATACGAACGTCCGCCGCTGTAGCCGCATTTCGGCCTGATCCGCCTGACAGTTGACTATGCATGTAACAATCATCATAAGTTATAACCGTGATTTATTTTTTTTTCACGAACTATCACCCGTGTCGCAAATCTACTCTTTCACGCGTATAATTGTGAATCTGAATCGTATTCGCAATGACTTCGAACTAGTCACAAGTGTACAACAAACCGGTATTCTATCAAAAGGTATTTCACTATCGACCAAATACACGTAACTCTGCAGGTGACTGTGAAGTTTAACGAATATCGAATGTAAACTCAGGTGTTATGCCTTTATCGACTACAAGATATGTGGTTCGATTCGACTGAACTGATGGCTGTGTTAAACGACTTGTATGAATATCGCATATACC